AGAGAGAGAGCGATAGCGAGCAGAGAGAGAGAGAGTCTGTGTGAGTGGCATATTTGGCGTATCAATCTCTCGTGTGATTCCTGTGTCTGGGCTATCGGTTCCAAGTGTGAACACTCATCTGGATGCTATTTGCATGTGTGTGCGAGGTTGAGGGTGATTGACTTGCGAATCACTGCACTGGTATCAAAGATGGATCCTGCTACATCCATTTGGAGGAGCAGTGCTGGCAAGGTACAAGGCCGGCGGGCAGGAAAAAAAAAAAAACAAAAAAAAAGGAGGAAGAAGAACATCGGGGTTTGAAGTTGGAGTGAGGGCCGAAGAAGAAGAGGCTTGAGACGGGCAAGCGACATATGTCCCTACAATCGAGGAGTTTCACCAAGAGGACGTCATCAAGATTAGTGAAGTGTTTGGAGTTTCACCAAGAGGACGTCATCAAGATTAGTGAAGTGTTTCTTGCCCTGGCCCTTGTCTTTCATGCAATCTATTTTTGTTTTTGTTCTGGTACCTTCCCTGAACTTCCTGGAGACCTGTTGCAATCAATCAGTTCTGTTGATGTCAATCTGGTCGCATTTGACGTCTGCTGCTGTGAGTCTTTGATTCTTGTCCTATCTGTTGAGGATGCATGTTGACTGAACCCATTAGCTGGATGAATCACCCATAAAGTAAAGGTCGTGGGCATGAGCGGCGGGCGCTCGTAAAACAACCCGGGTAGGCCAATGACTGGTACAGACCGACACGGGCCTGAACCGGAGCTGACGCAGCGAAGGGAGTAGGTCGCTAAGTAGATGCTCGACAGCTGGATGTATGTTACATGCCCAGTTGGGCGATGTACATATAAACCGAGGATCCGCAATGCGATAACAAGGACTGAATGGACAATGCAGTGCAAGTAGAATCTCGACAAGCAATGTGCATTCCGATACATACAAAATGGTGCTTTTATAGGGCAGGGAAGACTTAGATACAAATCCTGACCTGACCGGGACTGACCTCTTTTACGTAGTATAAGATAGCGAAGCAGAATGCTAGAGTACCAATGGCTAGCCTCATCAATGTCGCAACACAGACCAAACATACATCATATCCATCACAAGGTGTGAAGGAGCCTGGYGCTATACACMGAAAAGAGGCGCYAGGTCCAGACATACACAGACGAAGAGGAAGGGATCAGACGAGGAAGAGGAAGGGGGAGATGGGAAAGTCGTCAACACCAAGTCTCGTTACAAGTCCCAAATAATCCCTTTTCAAAATGTCTGAAGTCCAATGTCGAGTCTGGATCCAATGTCACCAA